AATGTCCACTTTCCATCCTTCAATTTGCTCAGTGACCGGGAACTCGAACTGGGCCTCAAACCTGTTGCCCCAGTCGTTGAAGACCTTCATGGTGTTAGTTGTGGCAACCTCTCCACCCCCGATACCATTGTGAGCTGATGTGAATATTGGACCATGTCAGTATATGTTGATGTAAGTAATAATATAACATAATAATATGTCGAAATTAGCCGCACACAATATTTTCTTTCTGTAGGTCATTTGGTTTGCTACAAAAATATTTCAATTACAATGCGGCCGAATGAACGCCACAACTTCCCATGTACATATGTAGGGGCATGGTGTAGGACAAAATAGACACAGGGCAAGGCTCTGCTCATAGTTAGCATGGAGATGCAATGCCATACTCACCACAGACAGACGCACACAGACAGACGCACACGGAGACGCACAAACACACACGCACCTAGGCCTAAACACAGTGACACACACACTCACACACACACCCTCAACCCACTCTCTCTCACAATCACCCACCCCACACCCTCACACACACGCTCTCAAACACACACATACTCTCTCACCCCCCTCACACACAATCCCTCTCACACATACACACTCACTCACACACACACACCACTCTCACACACACACATACACACACTCACAAACACACAACACTCACACACACTAGGGCCACAGACACACACACTCTCTCTCACACACACACTCTCACTCTCTCCACACACACACTCTCCTCACTCACACACACACACTCTCTCTCTCTCACACACACTCACTCTCTCTCTTACACACTCACGCCCCCTCACACACACTCTCTCTTCTCCCTCTCTCACACCCTCCACTCTCACACACACATACTCCCTCACCTCCACTCACACCCTCCTCACAACAGTCTCTCACACACACTCAAACACATCCTCACTCTCTCACACACACACTCTCACTCACACACTCCCTCACTCTCTCACACACACACTCACACACTCTCTCTCTCTCACACCTCACACACCCTCTCTCTCACATACACTCACTCACACACTCACACACTCTCACACACACTCTCTCACACACACCTCACTCTCACACTCTCACACTCACACACTCTCACACACACTCTCACACCTCACTCTCTCACACACTCACCCTCACTCTCACACACACACACCCTCTCACCCACACTCTCCTCACACACACTCACTCTCTCACACACCTCACACACCCTCACTCTCTCACACTCACACACTCACTCTCACACACATTCTCTCACACACACACACTCACTCACACACACCCCTCACACTCACACACACTGTCTCACTCTCACTCTCTCACCACTCTCACTCACCCCCTCACTCACACTCACCTCACTCACACACCACACACTCACCCTCTCACAGACACTCACACCCTCACTCTCTCACACACACCACACACACTCCTCACTCTCTCTCACACACACACCTCACCTCTCTCACACACACACACTCTCACTCCCCTCACACACACACACACACTCACGCACTCTCTCACTGCACTCACACACCCTCACACACCCACATGCACACACCTCACACACCCACCTACAAACAGGTCCTAGCTGTCACTACTTACTGACTTTAGTTGATCTTCGGAATCTTGACGATGGGATCTGGATGGCCGGAGTTATGATTGTTACTGCCGCCAGTAGAGGTACCGCCTGTGGACCCACTAGACCCACTGCCAGTCATGCCTTCAACCGTCACGGTAATCTTGGGAGTTGCATCTCCACTGGTCGACCCCGTGAAGTCCAGACACAGCTGATCACCCACGTGCTCGTCAGCGTTCCATTGCTTGTTCGATAAAATGAATTCCATTCCAGTCTTCTTTTGAACGTCAGCTGTGCCGCACTGTTGTTGACAATATATATGTGATGAGTGTAATATCAAAAGGCCCAATCGGTTTGTTCGTGGCCTATTTCAGGAAGGCGGTAGCCTGGTGATTGAAGTGTTCTCTCGTCATCCGGGTTCGATTCTCCATATGGGTACAATGTGTGAAGTTTATTTCTGGTGTCCCCTGCCATGAAATTGCTTAAATACTGCTAAAGGACACACAGAATCATACTATTTCACCATCGTTTTATTATTTGCATTTAATAGTTCTAGAATGGATCTAGGCTGCGTTATTTGATTCCTAGCGATAGTTCACCTTCTCCGACTCTATCATATGAGTATGATAAAGTTGAAAGCGACACAGAACAGTATAAAACCTTGAAACAAATGATCCAAACGTTACTTACATTTATACTGGAAACTTCTTTATCAAAGTTCAGGTGCACCTTCCACGAGTGAAGCTCTTTTGTTATGGGGATGCATGTCTTGGCTTGGAAACCTCCGTTCCAGTGGTTGCCCACAGTGACTGAAATGTCTGCCCCGCAGAGGGCGACACTAGTTGCCAGCAGCAGTAATAGCATCGTGAGACTACAACAAGAGGTGGCCATATCATTGTATCACTTGAAGCAAAAATGCTCAGTAGCATTTCGTGAAAGTAGGTTTTGAAAATTAATATATAACATCACCTGTCCCTTACGAATGTAACATGACATATAATAATTTGATCAATAGTCAATCAACCTCTGAACCTGTATTAAGACATTTAATGAAGTGCACATATCGGTAAAATATCGACAGTACCAAACAACGAAATTGTGACCACATGCTTCTGTTTGTTTCATATACATACAATTCAGAAAATAGAAACAACAGAAAGGACAGTTATCGTTAGTTCATTACTTCAGAAACAATAGCATTTCTTTACCCAATTTGTTTAATTTTCCACCCTTTCATGGAGCTTCTCTTACCTTGTCCAGTCCCGTGTGTGGCACCTGGCCAGATGGTGTGGTCTACTTTATGTAACATTTACAGATAAAGAAGCTATTGCGTTATTCCTTAATCACGGGCTACTATCATGGCATTCTTATAACAGAAGATAACCGTATTAGTAATAAACTATTTATAAAGGTACTTGGTCGACATATGCAAGGTAATACTAGTACTGTCTAGGAAAAAATGTTTCAGGTCAAAAGATTTCAAGGCCATGTGTTTAGTTTGTATAAAGAATGTTATATGTCAGTGTTTACGTATAATTGATTTGCCGAACAATCTGTTTTCCTTTAAAATATAATGTATGTATAATAACATATCATAATACAAAAACGTGGTTGTCCATTCGTCTGAAGTATCACACAATCACTGTTTTAAGGGAGTGCATGTATCTAGAAATGTAATATGCATTACAGTGAATTCATCGTATTGGGGTTTGTTTAACATGTGGAAGAAAACTATGCTTATCCTCAAAATACAGTGTTTCTAAAAGACTGAGAGTTTGTTGGGCATGAGCACGCCATTTCCTGGTTTGGAAAATCGATGGCTTGGGTGACTTGCCTAAATACAGGTAATGCCCTCTGCACCTACCTGGACATCAGGGTATAGATAGAACAAACAAACACCAGGAGCACTGTGTACAAGCACACCAATGGGGCAGCTTTGTTTGTGATCAGGACTTTGAATGTTGTAACCTTGATCATGCACTATAACAAAGAGTCACTTGACAATCTTAAGAATAATCGGGTAAGGCTACTGGACCATAAGGCAAAAGTTAACGTTTTAAAGTTCAAATCACCCCTCTTGTCACATAGTCTGGTGAAGAGTTTTCACCGTTACACATCGCACAAACGAAATACTTCAAAGGCGTTTAGAAGTGAGGTGAGGTGAGGTGAGGTGAGGTGAGGTGAAATTGGGTTTAACATCGTGCTTGAGAATATTTCGTGACGACGTACATGTGTATGTATGTGCGGCTGCTTGTACTAGCCCAGACTGAAGCTGGTTTTATAGTGCTAGCTCACTGAGATACCATGCCGCAGTGAAGCATGAATACCCCACTCAGACACAGTATACTGACTCCGAGCCGACCAGTCCTTGTTGTACCCATTAATGCCGAGCGCCAGGCAGGGACCAACAAGTACCATATTTTAACGTCTTTTGGTATGACGCGGTCGGGGATCGAACCCGCGACCTTCCGCTCTCCGGACGGACGCTCTAACCACTACACCAAGGAGGCGGCCCATTTAGTAGTTGTGAAGACTTCTTCAGGTGGACAATGTCATTATACACTTGAAGAAGGGACAAGAACTAGCTTAGGAATGTCGTGGTTAACAAATAAAGACGTTGTTAAGCACAAGATTTGTCTTGTACATCTACAAGAGCGTTGCTACGACGTAACAGGCTTTCGCATATGTACGCTTTTCTTAAGGCAGAGTGCTGCTTCGTCGTTTCACGCTTCGCACATGAACGCTTTTCTAAACGTACAGCGTTGCTACGACGTAACAGGCTTCGCACATGTACTCGTTTCTTAACGTAGAGTGCTGCTACGTGTCTACAGGCTTCGTCCATTACGCCTTTCACAAGTGCTGCTTCTGAGTTTACCACGGGCAATTGTCCAAGTATACATACCAAATTATTAACATAATTTCATATAATGTTCATTGTTCATAATGCTTTCCAGCATTATTTTACCTATTACGTTAAACAGAATTTTATCTGAACTTGTTCAATGTTTCTGCAGGTAGACCTACGCCACCATGTTTCATCAAAAGCTCAGAGTGAGTGAGTGAGTTAAGTTTTACGGTGCTTTTAGCAACATCACGGCGGTGAACAGCAGAAATGGGCTTCACACATTGTACCCATGTAGGGAATCGAACTGGGACTTTCGGCGCTTTAACCACTAGCCTACGCCACCGCCCCTCAAAAGGTCAGAACCTGTCACAAATTATAAGTCAAGGAAAAGAGGAATATTTTGCGAGACCAGGTACGCGTTCTAGATACTACAATAAGACCAATCATTTGTTTCATGTATGTACCTGTGCACGTTCAGTGTCCGCCCTAAATACTTGGACAGCATGTTGCTGGCAGTAATGTATGTACATCCAATGTACAGATGACATGCCCAGTCAGGAGTGTCAAGAGACTTGACTCACTATATAAGGTATTACGTCCCGACTGTAGGTAGCGCCGTGCCGTCTCCCGTGGAATAATGACCTACACGTGGCGTTTACTTACCGGCTTGGTGCTTATTGTTGGCGCACGTGGTGCTGAGTTTGGAGACAGTGGAAATGGTGAGTGTGTTGACCAAGATGTTGAATATTATTTCAAAAACAGTTGGCATTAAACCCCCCTCCCTCATATACTTGCTCGTCGTATCGCATTGAAACACATGTGTAGTATGTTCGTATCTTCTCATATCTACATATATACTTCAAGTCAGTAGTTAATGTGACTTAAAACGCCCGTTTCTGATGTTCCCGTTGACACATGTCATCGGTTCCCAGTTGCGCAGATCGATGCACATGCTGTTGATCACTGGATTGTCTGGTCCAGACTCGATTGTTTACAGACCGCCGCCATATGAGTGCGGCGTAAAACTAAACTCACTCTGATGTCCCCTGCCTTGATATTGCCGTGATATGCTAAAAGCGGAGTAAAACCATACTCACTCACTCACTATAAGAAACGAAGGCAGTTGGTGAAAACAATTCACTACAGTGGATGAATTATGCCATATGGAAAAATGATGATGTCACAAACAGCAATGCCACGAGAGGGCTGAGAGCGAAACTGACACAGTCAGTAGCTCGTGTGTCTCCACCTTGTACACTGGTGGAGGCCTCGACACCTTAGACCCTCGGAGGTCACTATACGTTGCGAGAGATCTGGGAGTGGCATCTCGTACTTCAGGAATGACATGCCAGTATTCACCCCATGCTGTAGGGAGATTTCCACCGAGACATGCTTGATTGGTTACAGTTCAGGATAACACATTTCCATTGTTCTGAGCCATACACGACCGCCTCCGTGGTGTAGTGGTTAGAGCGTCCGCCCGGAGAGCGGAAGGTCGCGGGTTCGATCCCCGACCGCGTCATACCAAAAGACGTTAAAGTATGGTACTTGTTGGTCCCTGTCTGGTGCTCGGCATTAATGGGTACAACAAGGACTGGTCGGCTCGGAGTTAGTATAATGTGTCTGAGTGGGGTATTCATGCTTCACTGCGGCATGGTATCTCAGTGGGCTAGCACTATAAAACCAGCTTCAGTCTGGGCTAGTACAAGCAGCCGCACATACACATACACACGCATGCACGTCGTCATATGAGCGAAATATTCTCAAGCACGACGTTAAACCCACTTTCACCTCACCTGAGCCATACACTATAGCACAACATCATGTTATCTTACGTCTCACCAAGGCTGTTCTGTTGTATCCTGGCTAAATGGTCGTTTGACCATTTCGTCTCATTTGGGTATCTCGTAGCATTCAACCAATCAACCGGGGTGGTGCCTACTGTAGCCGTTATTCCAAGATCACGACCCCCGATATCTACAACAACATTGACACGTAACGTTCACTCCGACGACCGTAGTGAGTGAGTTTAGTTTTACGCCGCACTCAGCAATATTCCGGCTATATGGCAGCGGTCTGTAAATAATCGAGTCTGGACCAGACAATCCAGTGATCAACAGCATGAGCATCGATCTGCGCATTTGGGAACCGATGACATGTGTCAACCAAGTCAGCGAGCCTGACCGATCCCGTTAGTCGCCTCTTACGACAAGCATAGTCGCCTCTTACGACAAGCATGGGTAACTGAAGACCAATTCTAAACCGGGACCTTCACGGGTCCCGACGACCGTAAATACGTAGCCTTCCGTCAGATCAGTTGCAAGGAAACAATGCCTCATTAATGAAGAGGACTTTCATCCACTCATCTTCATGCTGTCAATATGGACGTGTCCTATACACACTAGAATACAGACTTTGTTATACATAGATGGAATATTACAAACTAGACTATAAACACACACCAATTTATGCCAGACAAACATTTAGTTCGTTTATTTCTTGACAAGTTAATTTTCAGGTGAAGCTTCAGTTGTGAGCCTCAGGACAATCTACAATATCCTGTTTGGACTGAGGGCACACCTACCACCACAGACCGCCGGTCCTTACTGTGCTGTCTGTTGTTTCATTCCGAATCTGTTAGAACGACAAAGGTGCAAGAACAGAAGCTGTAACAACCCCAATACGCCGTGTCTGCTTCAAGGTACCGACAACTGAGATGATGCCAGGCAGTGTGTGAGTGAGTGAGGCTTAACACCGCTTTGGACAGTATTGTTGTGATAACACGGCTCATCAACTTAAAGTAGAAGGGAAAACACAGGTCCGGTGCCAACAGGAGCATTGGGGATTCGTACCAAGAAATACGGAGTCCTGCAGTGCACTCTTATAATCATGTCCACTATATATATCTCTCTCTTATTAATAAAATGTGATCACGGATTGCATATGTTTTTTCGTAGGTTGTGTTCTGCTCGATTTGTCGCTTCTGTGAATTACTGTATAGTAAAGGTAAATATATCTGGGTATGTAAATATATGGGTGAAAGTCACAGAAACTACCAAAATAGTGCGAACACCACATGAACAGTTTCGCGGTTGAGCGCATGCCGGTATGCAGAAAGGGAGGCATGTTGTGTTGAATACTCCGGAGCCCGATGGATGGGTACGTGTAACCTGTACCCTCAATAGGCTGTATCGGATGGGCATCCAGGCTTTGTTAGACTTCTTCCTAACAACCTCTGCTCATGATGGAGGCCATTTAATGGACTGAAAAATTACTGATTATTCACTCCATCAAAGAGCAAAAATTGTCCTCCATATTCCAGGCTGGACGAGACTATAAGATAATAATATGGCTCAGCAGCTTCTTTAGTTCAGAATCCAGTAGAGACACAGCAACGCATATTTCTGACTGCAAACAGTCAGTTCTTTTTGCAAATGAATCGGAGTGATTTCTGCAGTCTCATTGGTAAATGGCATCGGAACCCTGAATGTGCTATGAAACAAACTGGTTGCATACGAGCTGTAAATACAGAATTTCCCTGATTCCTACTGAAAGCCGTACATTTAGATTGGTTCCCGTTCGTTCCTTGCTATGAAAGGCGAGTAAGTGTAACTGGGGATACTTAGGCCCACTGTTGGCATTCGTCACCACTCGCCCCTTTCCGTAACATCCTATTCGGCTTGTCCCGGAATAACACGTGTTGGTCACGAATGCACTGTCGGCAGATTGGTAGGGAGAGTGTTACGTAAATATCACTGTTAACTGTTGTATTTAATGATCGTATACAATGTCATGTCTGTTTATATGGGAACATCGAGTATCCAGATATCGTTCTCTGACATCAGCGGTTGTATCCTAAACAACATGTTGTTATTCCAAGTAGTTCCAACAGTATTCGGCCCGTGACGATCCGGGTTAGAATTGGTCTTCAGTAACCCATGCTTGTCGAAAGAGGCGACTAACAGGATCGGGTGGTCAGACTCGCTGACTTGGTTGACACTCGTCATCGTGTCCCAATTACGTAGATTGATGCTCATGATGTTGATTGAATCCCAAGTGAGTAGAATGATGCTCATGCCGT